AGACGAGAGACGAGAGGACGAGAAGACAGAGACCGAGAGACCGAGAGGACCGAGAGACGGCGAGAGACCGAGAGACCGAGAGACCGAGAGACCGAGAGACCGAGAGAACCGAAGAAGACCCGAGAGGAGGAGACCGAGAGACCGAGAGAGAGAGAGAGAGAGAAGAGAGAGAGAGAGAGAGAGAGAGAGAGGAGAGAGAGAGAGAGAGAGAGAGAGAGAGAGAGAGAGAAGAGAGAAGAGAGAGAGAGAGAGAGTGTGTGTGTTTGTGTGTATTTATAGGAAGAGAGAGAAGGGAAAAGGGAAAGAGAAAGGGAAAGGGAGGGATAAGACAGAGAGAGAGAGAGAGAGAGAGAGAGAGAGAGAAGAAGAGAAGAGAGAGAGAGAGAAGAGAGAGAAGAGAAGAGAGAGAGAGAGAGAGAGAGGAGAGAGAGGAAAGGGCGTGAGAGAGAGGAAGGGAAGAGAGAGAGAGAGGAGAGAGGAGAAGAGAAGAGGAAGAGGAGGTAGAGAGGAGGAGGGAGGAAGAGAGAGAGAGGAAGAGAGGGAAGAGAGAGAGGAAAGAGAGGTAGAGAGGAGGAGTGAGGAGTGGTGTGGTGTGTGTGTTTGTGTGGTGTGTGTGTGTGTGTGTGTGTGTGTGTGTGTGTGTGTGTTGTGTGTGTGGTGTGTGTGTTGTGTGTGTGTATGTTTGTGCTTGCGTTTGTGTGGGTATATGTATGCCTTTGCTCTGTCCTGTATTCGTTCACCCGATTGGAGTTGGTCACACAAATGATCAATAAAGAATGGGAAACTGGATGTCGAGATATGTATAACTTTCAAGGAGAAGAAATCATAACTTAAATTCACAGGTACTCCCATTTTTTTATTTTTTTGCAAGAACATAATATAGTCTCCCCCATTTTTACCGGACCGTACCCCAGTCTTCCCAGATGTTTCACCTTGCTCTCAAGACGACAGCAGCGCCAAGAGCAACAAGAACAATGATAACAACAGCAACAACATCATGAACAACAACAGTAGCCATCCCACAAGACGGACATGCTCATCATCGTAAACAAACCATAATGTCCATCACTTTCCCAGATGGTTCATCAGCTTACATCGTATCCCTCTACCACCTCCTCCTCCCCTCCCCGGCCGGCCCCCTATCCCCTAACCCCATCCCTCCTACCAGACCATTTCCTATTCTACCGAATATCCTTTTTTTCATTCATTCTTTCGTGCTTAACGAGATTTCCATTCTCTCGCCTTCTGGCATTATTTTCTGAAAGATCTCGGCACCGCACGCGCACGCGTACTGACTCTCCCTCTCCTCTCTCTCTCCTCTCTCTCTCTCTCTCTCTCTCTCTCTCTCCTCTCCATCTCTCTCTCTCTCTCTCTCTCTCCTCTCTCTCTCTCTCTCTCTCACACAGCCACCACAGACACACACACACACACACACACACACACACACACACACACACACACACACACACCACACACCACACACACCAACACAACACACTCACACACCACTCACCTAATACCACTAACAGATAACCACAGGGCACCAAACTGCCAAAGGCCAGCGTGGCCGGGCCAGGCTGTCGAAATGACACTGCTTAATTCGGGTTACACTAAAGACGACACATGAATAGATTATCTAATTCATAAACTCCTATGCTATGTTTTTTAATTCATTCGGTTCGTGCGGTCATTTACATAAACAAACATGTATGCACACGAGAGAGTTATGGATCATCCGAAAGGCTTGTTAGGAACGCATAAACAAATCTTCGGTCACGATGAGGAAATATGTATTTGAATAGACCAGTGGAACCAGGCCGCCCTTGCACGCAGGACACTCCCCCCCCCTTCCCCAGGTTGGTTTTTAGATTTGTGATCAGTGCACTTGGGGCGGCTGGGTGGGCGGGTGTGGGGACGATTGGGCGCAGACTGGGAGAAAGTTTTTGGTGGGAAGTTGTCGTGGTTTGGTTTGCGTTCGAGTAAGCGTCTTTTTCTTCGTGTAGTCGCGCATGCATATTATTATTATTATTGTTTGTTGGTTGTTTATTGTGTTATATATTATTATTATTATTATTATATGGTCAATCCACACATATACCTCTCTCTCTTTCTTTCTCTATTCATCTGTTTGTCTTTTTATCTATCTATATATTCATCTATATATATGTTTATCCCACACGCGCTACGTACGTACACACACACACTCTTTAACACTTAACACTTACTCACGCTTACACACGCACGTACACGCACGGCGAACCAGGCGCGGAGCCAGGCCATAAGGTCCGAAGTCGTGCGTCGGGCGGGGCGCGGATGAGACGTATGGCACTCACCTGAGACTTGTCGCCGCGGTGGTGTCTGGCCCTCACCTCGCGTGGCACTGACGCCTGCAGCCGCGGGTCATTCTAAGGGGTTTATTCGGTGTTTAATTACTCAATAGCTTTATAAATCACTTATGTAATTACTTTATGCGAGACGTTTAATAGATATTAATTATGGGCGCATGTATAAACAGTTTGTTCTTGACTTTTATGGGTTGCAGCAATATTATTTAAGCTACGGATGTAAACCTTTAAAACCGCTGCTCCCTCCCCTTTCCCCCCTTCCCTCCCGCCCTCCCCTTCTTCCGGGCAAATACAACCGGACTGGACACCTGGACTAAATAAACCGCTTCCATGAGGGGGAGTATAAAGAGCTTTGAAAGTTCTTCGAGATTAATTAAATCCGGCACATTGTTTGTCTTTGCTTTTATTCCGTGTCGACCGCAACGTAAGTTCGAACGGCTGTCCAGGCTCTCCGGGGGCCGGTGAGTGGCCTCGGGTTTCGATGTTGGGGAAGGGCTGTCGGCGCGTCTCTCTCTTTCTTTCCTCCTCTTTATCTTCTCCTCTCTCTCTGTTCTCTCCTCTCTCTCTCTCTGGTCTTGTCTTCTCTCTCTCTGTCTCTCTCTCTCTCTCTTATGTTTCTCTTTCTATCTCTGTCCTTCCTCTTTCTCTCTCTTGTCTCTCTCTTCTCGTCTCTCTCCTTCTTTCTCTCTCCTCTTCTGTGTCTCTCTTTATCTCTCTGTGTCTCTCTTTCTCTCTCTCTCTGTCCTGTCTGCTCTGTCTCTGTCTCTGTCTCTGTCTCTCTNGAGAGAGATGAAAGAGAGAGAGAAGAGAGAGAAGAGAAGAGAAGAGAGAGAGAAAGAGAGAGAGAGAGAGAGAGAAGAGAGAGAGAGAGAGTGAAAGAGAGAGAGAGAGATGAAAGAGAGAGCAGAGAGAGGAAGAGAGAGAGAGAGAAGAGAGAGAGAGAGAGAGAGAGAGAGAGAGAGAGAGAGAGAGAGAGAAGAGATGAGCAGAGAGAGATGAAAGAGAGAGAGAGAGATGAAAGAGAGAGAGAGAGATGAAAGAGAGAGAGAGATGAAAGAGAGAGAGAGAGAGAGAGAGAGAGAGAGAGAGAGAGAGAGAGAGAGAGAGAGAGAGAGAGAGAGAGAGAGAGAGAGAGAGGAGAGAGAGAAGAGAGAGAGAGAGAGAAAGAGAGAGAGAGAGAGGATGAGGAGAGAGAGAGAGAGAAGAGAGAGAGAGAGAGAGAAGAGAGAGAGAGGAGAGAGGAGAGAGAGAGAGAGAGAGAGAGAGAGAGAGAGAGAGAGAGAGAGAGAGAGAGAGAGACACACACACACAGACATGTACTAAAGGAAAATATTTTTCTTACCTCTTACAGGTTTAGGAACATCAAAAGGTATTGTCACTTTTCTCCGCAGATATTCTGTTTTCTCCAGGAAGCGTCCAGAATGCTTTCTTTTCAAAATTTCTGTTTGGATAATTTCCATGTCTGTTGTGATTTGCTTCCTACCATCCCCTGGACCTTTTTCTTGCATATCATCCCAACGCAGACACACCCAGAATATTCTTAACTGCATTGCAGCTGAGTTTAATGATGGTATATTTGCTGTTCTGTACTGCCAAGTTGTTTTAAACACAGGTCTTGAACAAGGATAAGGCCATACAACATTGTTTGCTTTGGCATTGTGGTTAAATCCACTGATATAGTACCGACCACCCTTTCTTGCCAACGTACGCAGTTCCCATCTAGGTAAAACTAATATACTACTTATTCTGTTGTCACCACTACCCGTTTTTTTGCCAATTTTGAATGTAGAGAGCTGTGGTATCCTGTGCTGCAATTTACGTATTCGTTTGCTCTCACTAGGTAGTTTCTTCAGGTACACCTTGCCAGAAGGACACTCATTACTATAAATTCTGTCATTTTTCAGGGAAAACTTGTTTTCCATATTAACAGATCCTTGGCTTGTTTCATCTAAATCCTCATCCACTCTTATCTTAATCTCACTACTGGCTCTGGAGGATCTTCCATCACTTGAATCACTGCACTCTAATTTTGATTGCGTCACCTCAACTGAGTTTGATGTAGCACTATTCACTTGCCCATTCACAGTAGTTCCTACAGTACTGGTAGGTGGAGTCACAGATTCACTAACAGTCTCTTTCTTTGTAACAGAGTTTGCATTAGAATCTGTCAATCTGACTGGGCTATGGGCTCCTACTTCATCAAAAGGAGCAGGCTTACTGGTAACTATTCTATAATTTTTAACACTATTAATTAATCTGTCTTTAGTCCTATTCTTTAACAGGCACAAAGGAGAGTAACAATGGCACCTTCCACTACTTCTACATATCACTGAGTAACAAGAATAACTGCCATCAAGCTCATCTAGAGTCTCATATTTGGCTTTTAAAGTTCGAACTTCTTTAAGTAAATTTCCAGCAGGTCTCTGTTTGTGTATGGTAGACCGTTGGGAGTCTGGGATCTCATCAATGTTCTCATGATCTGAGTTGTCACTGAGTGTTGCATCCGAGTCGTCATTCTCAACATCAATTTCATCTTCCTCCTCGTCTTTCTTTGTTTCTCCACACTGAGATTTCTAGGGATAGAAAAAGTATGACAGGACTATACCATTACACATAAAATACATTCTAATAACTTTCAATCCGAGTAGATACTGTGAAATATACATATCAACTGATTTAGTAATGTAATTACCTCTTTTTAATCAATTCCAACCACATATAATGTTAGGACCCATAAAAAGTCATTAGTTCAAAGAGTATTAACAGTAACCAAATATACTTACCACAGGTTTTCCTAAACATAACAAAATACTGATTCTTTTAGTATCTTCCTTTTCAGGACTGATGCATCATTACTTTTGTCAAACTAACAGATTACACAGAAATTATTCAGTAATAATTCATTAACCCCTTAATTATGCATTTCTGGAACTCTATTGTCATTGGACTGCTAGAGACACAGCTAACATATTAACTGACTTGAATGTAAATCTTTCCAGATTAAAAGAAGATGCAAACCATCAATTGTCAGAACATTCTTGGTGTACCACTTATTACAATTTGAACACACTCCATAAATTCTTCCTCATAATTATTTTCAATTGCCCAGAATGTAAATAATAAGAATCATGTATGCACATAAAATTTTTCAAAGCCTTTTCTTAAATCACAATTTTCACATTGCCAAATTCATTATGACAACACTAACATCCTTTAAAGTTCAAATTCATGATCAGCTTTCTAACATGACGCTAGTGGGATAATGGTTGCTAGTAATAACATTACAGCAGCTTCAAGAAATAAATTCATGTCCTGAATGACTCCATTTCCTCTTTTCTAACCATATCTACATGCCATCAACAATATAAACAAAACCAACAAGTAATATGATTATGTGAACTTATTTCATTATGTTTTGTGAAAACCATTTAAACACATTCCTTATTCTTCATAACTGAATTTTATAGTCTGCATCCTCTAACAAATAATACAATTTGTACTGTTTTCATTATCGCTACTGATAAAAACTTACCTTGGTGGCAAGATCTTTCTCTTCTTGTGAACGGAGAGCAATCCGTCTACTTAACAAACTGTCAAGAACAGAGGTTTTGGCAACTTTGGGGTAAAGGAAGCGTGAACGTGAGGTGAGGGCTTCAGACACATTGACCAAACCATCCTCAAAATAATCTTCAAGTTTTACTGTGCCAACTACAACTTTCTGCTGACCAGCTGTTGGGTAAACAAAAATTAAGATAATTATTTAACAATATTATTCTTTCATAAGGAAATAAGGTAATCATTATCAAAATTAAATTTTGGTAAATAAGTTATGAACTCTTGCTCAGAAAAAAAAAGAAACAAAAGAAAAGAAAAAGAATGGTTGCCCTTACTTGTACTAGCTATTATGATTTCGTTTTTCTTCTCCTCTGAAGAAGATTCAACCACCATCTCTTGAGACCTTTGGTTAGGAGAGAGGAGGCACGGCTTTAAGGATGGCGCTTTAGACGCCAGTTGCTTATAAACAGCATAGTTGATTGAAAGACTGCGTAGTCCAGTTGGGCTTTTGATGGGCACCATGTACTTTTCTCCACCAGAACGAAGACCAACAGTAGACATGGGGGTGTGTGGGGCTCGCCTGTGTGATGACAACCACTGCCAGCCCCACATGCCATGCACTCTATATTCTTCACCTTTCAACTTCCATACCTGTTGATCATTATATGTACAATTAATAAATATCAATCCATTAATATAAAGGCTTCCACCATTGGCCGTGAAAACTGAAGAAATATCGAGCCTTAAATTTACAAGTGACAGGTACATGTAATACCCACTGTAATATTGTTTTGAAAAATTTGTTGCACACAAATAGCTTCTCAAATGCATGTCTACCAAGGAGTCATTTAGCAGTCCCTAAGTGCTTTATATAATTTCCTTATTCTAGAATTTGTTTTTTCTTTCTTTCTAATGAATGTAGATGGCATGAAATCATGCAATGGCTATGCCAGACCAAGTCGCAGATGGCACCGGCATGCTCTACACCATCTACTCAATGAAGAGACCTCATCCTTTTTCAATATCAGTGACATCATTTGTTTGATATGATTATTACATACAGGAAACTAAAGTCAAGGGAAACATTTAACCCCAATAATCCAGATGACATAACCATCATGTTATGAAAAAAGGAAACAAGGAAACAGGTCAACAGGTGAGACAGATAGGGGCAGTGATTGACTCCTTGGTGGCTCAGCACTTGGGATGGATTAAGGTGGCCATTAACATCAGTCAATGGTACTCCTTACCTGATGCTTCAGCCCCAGAGTGTACTTTATGATAGTCACAGGTCTGACTTCCTCTTGATCATTATCTTTCTTTTCTCTCTTCTCTTGCTTCTTTTTCTCTTCTCTCTCTAGTGCTGTTACTCGGTTAAACCTAGAAGGATAGCAGTATGGTAATTTTAAGTGTTGAAAATACAATTTCAAGAGCTTTGCTTATTACTTTTCTCTACTGATCCCTATCACTTACAATAATTGAAAAGGTTTTTCTCTACCTCTTCAATATATACATGAAAGCATTAGCATGCTAATGAATTAAGAATCAACTTAGACTACATGAAAGCAAGTAAATGAAAAATAAATAAATAGAATTGTAATTGTTTTACATACCCCATCTATCCCAACATTTGCAGGTAACCTATCTTACAATAAATGTACTTGTGCCTCTTTTCATGCACAAAACACCAAAAGATGAAAATGAATAAAATCAATATTCCTCCCTTCAATACGACTAATCATGTTCATCAAAACACCATTCCTATAAATGCCTCACCTGACATGCCCAAGGGATTCATGCCACACGGGATTAAAGACCACCGGTTTAATACAGGCCACCAGCCACATAAGGACCCTGGAGAAGTGCCGTGGCTCAGTAGAAGCCATCACTGCTACATTCCAGGCCTTACGGATGTTAGGCCAGTGGGGATGGAATAGGTGAACAGATATATTCTGTTCTAAGGCCAATACACTGTGACGAAGAGTTGATACAAGGGATTCCTTGTTACCTGTGGATTGAAAGGAGACATCATTCTGCAGCTCATGGAAGTCTTACTAAAAATATTCTATAAAAATACACTGGATACAACAGGGATGTATCCAAATGTTTTTAGTTCAAACTGACATCTTACCATAAAGCACTCCATTCCACTTGAAGTCTGCATTTGAGGTTAGGCTGAATTTGTGTGACAAATGTCTTCGTTTATCCCTTTCCTCATTATGCTGCAACTTGTTGAGAGCAAGGGCATTTGTGGAATACTGATTGACATAGTTCTTATATTTTCCATCACATCCCAGTCGATACAAATGATCTGCAAAAAAAAGTATATACCATTAATATCACCAATTACTAAAAGCATTAACCAATATCAATATGCCAAAGTTTCCTGTTACTCTCATTTCATATATACAATTACTATCAAAACAACTTTTGCAAAACTTGTAGGGGGAAAGAGCTTCAAAGTGTAAACCTTATTTTTCCAATTACATCTGAACACTTTTACTAATATAAGAGATAGTAGTAAACTGTCTCTCATATATGAGTTATGATTCAGCTTACAAATCTCCCTCCATTTCTATCGTCTATGTAGACACTCTGAAGAACCCACCATTGCTCTGAAGCTGAGCCAGCTTACTCTGTGTGAGCTTGTGCACTGCTGCATCATCTGAAGACTTCTTGCTGCTGTCCTTGTCCTTATCCTCCACTGGCAGGCGTCGCCGTAAATCATCAACAGCAAATTGCTTGGGGGTGATTGTGCCGGTCTTGGTCCTAGTCTTGATACCACTCTCACTGCTCTTCTCCTCATCTTCGTGCTCCTCCTTGACCTCTACTTCCTCTTTGACATCAACACTGGGGACACTAGAGGGTTTAGAGGACTTCTCATGAATCTCACCAGTGAACGGATCAAGACTTGAGACGTGGCCTTCCTCGGTCTTCATGTCACACTCTACTGGCTCTTCCTTTATTTCTGTCTTGATGTCTTCCTCCTTGATCTGTTGAAGAAAAAAATGAAAAGATATGAGTACAAGCTTAAACTGCAAATTAGATATAGATATCATGAATACAAATTTTGAAATAAGGTATCGCAGACTAAGATGTAAGTAAATATGAAAACAAAGTGATAATTTACCTCTTCAATCAACTTATCTAATCCTTCTTGTTCCTTTTTCACCTTTTGTTCTCTTCTTTCAGCAATCCTTTTTGCTACATCAGCTGGAAATAAAATTACTAAATGTCAACTTTTTCTTAATTTCCCTTGAATATTAACCCCTTGGATCCAATTGCTTCACGCCAATCACATGACCCAATATTTTGGTATTAGGGTGACACAACCACCCACTCTGATGGGTGTGCAGTCTGTAGGCTGGGTACATGCAAATACTCCCGTGGGGTGACAAGACTTAATGCCTACCCTTTGCAATGTCATTTCCTCTTTTTATGCATAACTGTTCATAGGTTTATTGCCATTTTCCAATGTCCATACTTGTCATTTGAGCTCTATTATCCAGATGGTAACAGACTGTTTTCCTTGAACAGACTCTTTATCATCCCTCTAGGTAATCCAAAACTCAGAAAAAATAAAAGCAACAAAGATTTTGTCTTTTCTTATATATAACATTAAATTTTTTGTAAAACAACCTGCACTGCTGCTCACAGCAGCCAGGAATAGGATGCATGGAAATGGTATCCTCCCTGGAGCCAGCACTCTTCCAGTCATAGCTTGCAGACACTATATTCCACACTCATTTATCAATGTGAATAATGCAAAAGCCCCTCTCTATATGCCAAATGAGTCTAGTCACCCTCCAAGAGGTTTGTGCACTTGTAGCGAGTCTTTTCCGGCATCCTGGCCTTCAGTTAAAATGCTCATGATGGCAGGATCGGGTCACCCAGGTCCACAGCCAGATTTTCCAATGATGACATGTTTACCTCACCCACCCCTCAAGCCATGTTTTTTCACAGTGTGATGGTCACATTATCCAGATCAAAGGGGTTAGAAATAAGCAGTAATATTTGTTATATAACAATTACTGATATGTAAGTATAAAAATTAATAATCCCTACCATCTTCCACTTCAAGGCGAGATTTCCGGTTCCCT